GCCCCCCCCCCCCCCCCCCCCCCCCCCAGCCCTCTGCCCTGACCTCGAGTCGCCCCGCTCAGCCCGCTGCAGGCCTAGGTGAACAGAACCCCAGGCTGGAAGTGGGCTGAGCAGGCTGGCGGCGTAAGATCAGCATTTTAATTTAATTTTAAAGGAAGCTTCTTAAACATTTTGAAAACTTTGTTTACTTTACATACAACAATAGTTTAGTTATATAATATAGACTTATAGAGAGACACCTTCTAAAAAACGTTAACATGTATTACTGGCACGCGAAACCTTAAATTAAAGTGAATAAATGAAGACTCGGCACACCACTTCTGAAAGGTTGCCTACCCCTGCTTTACTTCATGCCAATGGCAAATCTGACAAATTATTTTTGCTAGATAATCTCAGTAGTTTTGATGTAACTAACACTTGGTTTTTCATTTTATACCATCCCCATTAGGTTACCCTGTGCCAAACAACTATGATATGGCTGTCGTCATGCACGCCTTTATCTTAATAGCTTTGTCACTTTAGTATGTCCTAGTCAGCCTGATTCAGTCCTCCAATATACAATTTACACCGATATAATTCCATCAGCTACAGTGGCGTTACCCCAGTTTTACACTGGTGTATGTCAGACCATAATCTATGCCAGTGTGCAGCCCAGTCCAGTGGGGGAGTTGCAACAGGATGTAGAAGCGCTTTGGACACACCTCTTGCGCTGCAGCCTGAAGACGTGGCACCATAGAGAGAGCCCAGCCCAGTATCACCTGAGGCTTTAGGTCTATGCTGGGGAATTCACAGCCTAGCTGCTTAGGGAACTTCTATGGCCTGTTGCGCTACAGGATCATCAGGGCTAGCACTTCGCCCTTACTATAAAAACTAAACCAAGCATTACTAATTCCCATTCAGTATGGCCACCAAAATCAGCTCCCTCCTTCACCTCTGTCCCCTTCCTCTCATTGGCAATCATCTGAAGAGATGCAGAAGCAAGCTGCAAATGCAGAAAATACCTCTGCGCCCCTCTGTGCACAGCTTTCAGGATCAGACTGCAAGAGCTGGCCAGCCACTTGTAACCACCACAGTGGGGCGTAGTGGGGAGATTGTCGGAGAAATTAAAGCTCATAATTATTTGTGACAACCAGAGTAGAGGGTGTCCAATTATTCCATATAAGCAATTTGCATGGTTGTCACTAGAAGCTTTCTGCGTGTTCATGTACCATATAAGGTTTCTCACAACAAAGTGTTTTCCTATTGCCTTTACTATGAATATTGTCAATGCTTGAATGTACTGTCTGTAAAATTAGCCAAATTTAAACAGTGTCATATAGAAAGCTGCAAATAGACCCATACATGCAGGGCCTTCTGTTCTGATTTTTTTCTCAAAACAGCCCAACTGTAACTTTTTGTAGAGGTGGGGTACGGGGTAAATGGTGAAGTAAAGGGCATTCCTGCCTGTGTTTGGATGTCTAAGGCTTGGCTTACACCTATTCCAGTGTGAAGTGGTTTAGATCTGCTTTATGGAGGTGTAGCAGGTTTAAAGGAATTTTCCTCCAAAGAACATGATCTTCCTCTTTCCAGTCTGAATTTGGACGATAATACTGCATTTAAATTCAACTACCAAGCTACTTTGCAGTTGAATGGGCCTGTGCCAGGAAGTGTTCTGTTGGCCACGTGCCAGTTGCCGAGGAAACTCGCTTTCTAGAAATGGTGTCTGAAGGAAAGAGAAGTCAAATAAAGGCAGTCTGGGTGGAGCTTGGCTCAGGAGTATCATTCCCTGGCTTGTCATGCTGAGTGCTGAAACTAAAGCCTTAGAGCTGGATTCCATTACACTGGGCTTACGCCGGTGTAACCAGTGGAGGATCAGGCCTTCCGTTGTAGCTGGCGAAGCTACAGAGGACTAATATATTTTCCACTCTCCAGGCAGAGATGGGAGGTACTAGAGAAATCTAGTCTGTGATTTAATTAGGGAGATAATGCTAGCTTATCATTCAAGATAATTTTAGTGTGTTGGGTTTGTGTATATATCGTACTTCAGTGTTGTTCTTAAAGCAATTTCTCTGCTGTCAGACCTCGTTCAGTTATTTTATCCGTATTTGTCTACAGCCCGTTACTAACGTTTTTTTAAAAGTCTTTAGAGCCATTTCCCCGATCTGGTGAAGACTTCTTTATTTAAAAACAGTAATACACAAAGGGAAGCTTGAGGGCATGGATTTTATTGGGAATGCCTTCAGAGCACACCACTTTTTCTTGAGTATGAGAGGAGTTTCCCAGCATCCGTCTCATAATAATTAGTAAATACTTAAATGTAAATAGTTGGCAGTGAAAACCTAATGTATTTTTCTGTGTTGAATATATCCACCGAAGTGCACTGTGTGGTGACTGATCAGACCAGGGTTAGCAGTTGTCACAAAATGACAGTTAAGTGGTTGAGGTTTGAGATGGAATAACTGACACACAGTAGTGGGTTCCAGACTAGAACTGCGATATTGTCTCTAACTTTGCTGAAACTGTTCTCATTAAGTTTCACTTTCAGACACCCGTGTTCTCTACATTAGATTTCCTTTAAATTGAAGGGTGTCTCTTATTAAATCACTTGGGTAGGTATCAGACCAGAACTTGGGCGAGACTGTATTATGTAGTCAAAACGTTTTAAAATGTATTGCAACTAAATTAGGCACTGTTATTGTCCAGGTCCTTCCAGTGGTGGATTCCCAGCTGGTGGGTTTGGTCAGAAGTCAGCTCCATCCCAGAAAGGAGGGAATCAGTGGCAGACAAAGAAACCACAAAATACAGGTACTTCGTGGCAGTCCCACACTCAACCACAGCAAGCTAAATCCAGCACACAGAGTAAACCCAACTATACCGTGAACTTCAGTGTTATTGGAGGTCGAGAAGAGAGAGGTATCCGAGCTCCAGGCTTTGGTAAGTTCTGTTTCCTGGAATTATAGTTATAATGGTGTGTTGCATATGAAGTCCTTGTGGTCTCTACAAGCATGGTTCTGGGGCTTTATGAAAACAGAAGCTTTGAAAGGTTCTGAAGAACTTATTTTAGTCATGTTACAGGCTTCATATTTTGTTTTGTTATTAAATGAGGTCTAATAGCAATAACATGAGTGGCATTTAAGCAGTTGTGTTCAGATAAAGGTCCACTTCTCAGATATCTCTCATTGCCTACCAGCAGTTCCTGATAGATATTAGCATGACAATATGCATTGTTGTTGTAGCTGTGTTGGTCCCAGGATATTAGTGACACAAGGTGGGTGAGGTAATATCTTTTATTGGACCAGCTTCTGTTGTTGAGAGAGACAAGCTTTTTAGTTTACACAGAGCTCTTCAGATCTGGGAAATGTACACAGAGGCCTGGTTTACACTAGGAAACTAGGTCAGTTATAACTGTGTCACTCAGGGGTGTGAAAAATCCACGCCACTAAGCAATGCAGTTAAATCATCCTAACCCCTGGTGTAGACAGCTCTAGATCAATGGGAGAATTCTCCCATCAACCTAGCTACCACCTCTCGGGGAGGTGGATTACCTACACTGATGGAAGAACTCCTCCCATTGGCATAGGTAGTATCTTCATTAAGGGCATGGCTACACTTGCAGATGTAGAGCGCATTGAGTTAAACCAGCCCTCGGACAGCGCAGGAGGGAAAGCGCTGCAGTCTGTCCACGCTGACAGCACACTGGTATGACCACATTAGCAGCTCTTGCAACGGCCACAGAGAGCAGCATGTAAGTGGCTGCAACGTGCTTTTCAAGTGGGGGTAGGGTGTGACAGGGAGTGTGTTGTGTCTATGTGGGGGAGAGAGTGGGTTTGGGGGGGGGGCTGAGAGCATGTCTGCATGCTGTCTTGTAAGTTCAGACAGCAGCGGAGCCCCCCTCCCCCCGCCTCTCTCTCTCTCACACAGCATTCCACACTAATGGCTGCTTTGTCTCGGAGCAGATAAGCAGCCAGCTGTCAGAAACGGAGCTTTGAAAGGGCATATCCAAAACAATGACAAGAGTGGCCACTTGACTTAAGGGAATTATGGGACGTTTCCGGAGGCTGATCAGAGCGCAGTAATGCAACACCTCGTTCACACTGACGCTGGGGAGCTCCAGCGGGGGCGCAGCAAACGTTATTCCTCTCGCCGAGGTGGAGTACCAGCAGCGCTCTAGCTGTGGAGTCAGAGTGCTCTACGAGCCTTGCCAGTGTGGACGGGTAGTGAGCTAGTGTGCCCTGGGATCCTTTAGTGCGTTCTAACTCGCAAGTGTAGCCAAGCCCTAAGCGTCAAAAAGCCCAGAGTGCCACAGCTAAGTACAAGGGGGTAGATTGTTTAGCATAAGTAGTTAACACATTTCAAGGGACCATTCAAGGTTAAGTGGCCTGTTAACACCTCTTCAGTCATAGAGCAGGAAAGGAGGGCGGGGGGGAAAGCTATAACCCACTTAACCTTGAATGGTCCCTTGAGATATGTGAAACACCCCTCTGAGTGACATAAAGTTACACCAACAGAAGCGCTGGTGTGGACAGAGGCTCCCCCACCGCCGTAACTACTGCTGCTCGTTGGAGGTGGTTTAATTATGTCTACAGGAGAGCTCTGTCCTGTGGATATAGAGCAACTACACGAGCTATCCGACAGCAGCACACCTGCATCGGTAAGCTCGCTAGTGTAGACATGGCGTTAGGGGAAAAACAGTTTTTAAGAGAGCTGGCAGTTTTTCAAAGAGACATTATTAAGGGTAAAATAGCAAACTACCTCACCGCGTAGGAAAGATAGGAAGTATGGCAAGAGACCACCCTGGCTTAACCAGGAGATCTTCAATGATCTGAAACTCAAAAAGAGTCCTACAAAAAGTGAAACCTCTGTCAAATTACAAAGGATGAATAAAAACAAAGAACACAAGTATGAAGGGACAGAATTAGAAAGACCAAGGCACAAAACGAGATCAAGCTAGCTAGAGACATAAAACAAGAAAATATTCTACAAATACATTAGAAGCAAGAAGACGACCAAGGACACTGTAGGCCCATTTCTCAATGAGGGGGAGAAAACAATAATAGAAAATGTGGAAATGGCAGAAGTTCTAAATTATATTTTTGTTTCGGTTTTCACCAAGAAGGTTGGTGGTGACTGGACATCTAACATAGTGAATGCCAGTGAAAATGAGGTAGGATCAGAGGCTAAAATAGGGAAAGAACAAGTTAAAAATTACTTAAACAAATAAGATGTTTTCAAGTCGCCAGGGCTTGATGAAATATGTGCTAGAATACTCAAGGAGCTGACTGAGGAGATATCTGAGCCATTAGCAATTCTCTTCAAAAAGTCATGGAAGACGGGAGAAATTCCAGAGGACTGGAAAAGGGCAAATATAGTGCCCATCTATAAAAACGGAAATGAGGACAACCTGGGGAATTACACACCAGTCAGCTTAACTTCAGTACCTAGAAAGATAATGGAGCAAATAATTAAGCCATCAGTTTGCAAACATCTAGAAGATAAGGTGATAAGTAACAGTCATCATGGATTTGTCAAAAACAAATCGTGTCCAACCAACCTGATAGCTTTCTTTGACAGGGTAACAAGCCTTGTGGATGGGGGCAAGCAGTAAATGTGGTATATCTTCACTTTAGTAAGGCTTTTGATACTGTCTCGCATGACCGTCTCATAAACTAGGAAATACAACCTAGATAGAGCTACTACAAGGTGGCTTCATAACTGGTTAGAAAACTGTTCTCAGAGAGTAGTTATCAGTGGTTCATAGTTATGCTGGAACTGCATAATGAGTGGGATCCCGCAGGGATCAGTTCTGGGTCGGGTTCTGTTCAATATCCTCATCAGAGATTTAGATAATGGTATAGAGAGTACACTTATAAAGTTTGTGGATGATACCAAGCTGGGAGGGGTTGCAAGTGCTTAGGAGGATAGGACTAAAATTCAAAATGATCTGGAAAAACTGGAGAAATGATCTGAAGTAAATAGAATGAAATGCAAAATACTCCACTTAGGAAGGAACAACCAGTTGCACACGTACAAAATGGGAAATGACTACCTAGCCTGTTTCCCCGAAAATAAGACAGTGTCTTATATTAATTTTTGTTCCCAAAGATGCGCTAGGTCTTATTTTCAGGGGAGGTCTTATTTTTCTTGTCCTGGTGGCGGCGCGGGCTCTTTGATTTAAAGAGACCTGGCACTGCCTGAACAGCTCCGGCTGCGCTGTGGCCAATCAGTGAGCTGCGCGGCGGTGCCCGCCGCTACAGTCCAGAGGAGTCAGACGCCTTACGGTAGCTTCGGGGCCTTATATTCCGGGGTGGCCTTATTATCGGGGAGGTCTTATTTTCGGGAGGATTCCTTATATTACAGCGAGAGGCAAAACTGGAAGTAGGTCTTATTTTCGGGGGATGTCTTACTTTCGGGGAAAGACGGTAGGAAGGAGTACCACGGAAAGGGATCTGAGGGTCATAGTGGACCAGAAGCTAAGTATGAGTCAACAGTGTAACAC